ATTTGTTTGTTCCTGAAACTATTTTATCCCCTAGACATCGTAGAGAATTGAGAATTCTAATTTGTTTCAATTCTAGGAATAGAAATGGTATACCTAGCAATGCATTTTTTTGTAATGAAAATAAGGTAAAGAGTCCGGTTTTGAATAAAAGCAAAATAAATCAAAATAATATAATTAGATTAAAGTTCTTTCTTTGGCCTAATTATCGATTAGAAGATTTCGCTTGTATGAATCGCTATTGGTTTGATACCAATAATGGCAGTCGTTTCAGTATGGTAAGGATACATATGTATCCGCAATTTAAAAATGAACTTAAGCGTGTACTGAAAAAAAGTGAAATACGGATTGATTTTATTTCCCGTACTATATTGCATATATGAAGACAAATAGATGCACACCTATATTGTTTTCTATTCCATTATGATACACGATACTAATTTAATGACATATCAATATCTAGAAATAATGCAAAAATCTTCTTAGTTTATTTTTAAATTTTAGATATAATTTTTTATCTTTTGTGAGTGCAGACAACTATCTTTTTGTTTACCTATTCGAATACAATTTTCAAATTGGAAATTATTCACAAAATTAAGATTATTCACAAAATTAAGATTATTGTATTGTGTATGCCAAATAAAAAAAAAAAAATGAATAACATTATTATTATTGATCAATAAAAAAATCTAGCAAAGCAATAAGGGCCGGTGGGGGGGAAGATTTCATTTTATGATAAAAAAGTCATTCATCTCGGTTATTTCACACGAAGAAAAAGAAAAAAACAGGGGGTCTGTTACATTTCAAATACTAAGCCTCACTAATAGGATACGAAAACTTTCTTCACATTTGGAATTGCACAGAAAAGACTATTTATCTCAGAGAGGCCTCCGTAAAATTTTGGGAAAACGCCAAAGGATGCTGTCTTATTTGTCAAAGAACAATAGAATACGTTATAAAGAATTAATTAATCAGTTAGATATTCGGGAATCAAAAATGCGTTAATTTGAATTTGAGGAAGCGTTTTGAATTATTGAATTATTTGATTTATTAGATCTTGATTTTTTTTTATTTTAATGAACTTATTTTCGCTTTTCAGTAATTCATGAAAGAATCAATCGAGGAAAAAGAAAAACCTATGAATATACCAGCTCCAAGAAAAGACCTCATGATAGTAAATATGGGTCCCCACCACCCATCAATGCATGGTGTTCTTCGACTCATCGTTACTCTCGATGGTGAAGATGTTATTGACTGTGAACCAATATTAGGCTATTTACACCGAGGAATGGAAAAAATTGCGGAAAACCGAACAATTATACAATATCTGCCTTATGTAACGCGTTGGGATTATTTAGCTACTATGTTCACAGAAGCAATAACCATAAATGGACCGGAGTTGTTGGGAAATATCCAAGTGCCTAAAAGAGCCAGCTATATCAGAGCAATTATGTTGGAGTTGAGCCGTATAGCTTCTCATCTCGGCCTCTAAAGGCCCCGTTTGGCTGAAAGCCGTAGCTGTTGTTTTTCTTGAAACTGTTTTAGTCAAAAACTGTGCCGTTTCGGGAATCTGTGTTTTAGTACCTCTTAGGGTCGGATTTTGAAAATCTTTTCTTCATCAAATTTCTTCATCTCGTCGAAATATAAAATTGTCACTTTTGTGAAAAATCGAGATTCAGCTTCTAAGGGTCCCGTTTGGCTGAACCAGTGGCTGCCAGTTTTTTTTTCGAAACTGTGTTGGACAGCTTGTCCGTTTTTGCCAAATGGCTTCAAACTTGGTTTTAGAGTTAAAATTAGGTTTTGTCATAGTAACCGAAAATGTTCAAAACATCCAGGGCTATAAGTTCAAGCTTTAAAACATTGAAAAATCTCGCTCTATGGTCCTCATTTTCGCGGTCAAAGTCACCGGAAAATTTTTCCTCTAATTTGAAAATAAGCAACTTAGATTAAGCATAAACATACCACATCAAACTAACCTCAAAACTCACAAAACCAACATAAAACTCACACACCCTTATTACAATCTTATCTCTTCAAGAACCACAAATTTACATCCATAAATCCAAGCTTAAAGTTGGCTAGAAATTAATGGAGGGGAGTTTAAGAACTTACCCTTGAAGAATTCTCTCTTTCTCTTGAAAAACCCTTGAACTCCTCTAGGATTGTTAATGGCTTGAAACTATAAGAGTATAAGGAAATTTGAGAAGAATATTTCTCTATTTCAAACTTTCCCAAAACATGAAAAAGAGAGGATTTAGAGTTTCTTTACCCTTAGAGGAATGCTTGACTAGTCTCCTCCTAGAATCCCTTAATCTCCTTCTTCTTCTTCTATGGTGTGCTAGTGGCTCAAGATTTGGAGAGTGGGAGAAAATATTTGAGAGGAAATGGAGAGTGTGTGGCCGGATTTTTGAGTGGGGAAAAAGCTAGGAGAAAAAAAATGAAGCTTATCCTATGTTGGTTCCTTTTATAGGCAACTTGGAAACTATTTTTTTTAACACCAATTCCACTCCATCATTCAACCAAATTTTTGGTTAAAGTCCCCCTTTCTTGGCCAGTTTTGGAAGGAGAAAAGGAGATGCAAATTTGCCATTAATTCCCTTTCAACCACTACAATCACATCACCTTAACATGTCATCCACTTGCACACTCAACTAGCTAATTTTGGCTCTATTTTTTTTTTTGCATGGCCGGTGGTGTGCTTCAAGAAGGAAGTGTGGTAAGCATTTATGTCCAATAGTTGATTTGACACAATCCTATCACACCTTACCATGTAATCCCCTAGCACACTCAACTACCCAATTTTGGCTCTATTTTTTTCTATGCATGGCCGGCCAAAGTGGAGAAGGAGAGAGAGAAAAATAAATCCTACCCCTTGTACTTTAGTCCACTCTCTTAAGTTACCTTTGAATCAGGTAAAAATCATACTGACTGTAAAGGGTACTTAGCTGACAGGAAATTCTTGTTTCTGACAGTTCTCTTTTTTTTCTACTACTTATTTACAGTTCAACTTTTAAATCCTCGTCTGCTTTAATATCACGTTAAATTCTTACTCGCGTAATATCTTAAACTGTTTCAAGTCTTGAAATTAATTCTAGACTGAATAAATTCTAAATTTAACTTTTCTGCATTATATCCCGGGAGTGACATTATTTCTGACGGTGTCAACTCCTTAGCTCACATTGTACCCTTCTACTATCGGTATCTATCTTGTGACTTTAACCTAGCTGTCTGGCAATTAAGGATTTTCTCTTCTTTAAAAATGTCAGTGCGTTTTTTTTTACGCTGCTAACATCATGCTGTGTTTGGAGATTCTTGAAATTAAGATTCTCAAACTATACTTGTACTGAAAATTATTCCGCCTTAAAGTACGGCAAGAATTTATCGATCGAATTTACTTGATCGAAAACATGAACTTAACATGAAATCTGCTACAGAATTTAGGAATACATATATTGATTCCATAAATCCTTCAGTCACATAATATTTTATAGGAAAATCCTTGGCTTAAATAAATAAATTGTATTATTTAAAGTCTGGAATTTTCTCAGTCATTACATCCAATTCGTATACTTATTTATGCAACTTGAAACCTTTCCCACTTTGTACATGAAGAGAATATCACATCCTTTCTTAACTTATCATGTGAAATAAATGGAGTTAGTGGTTTCAGGATCTTGAGATTAAATTGAAAGATTTGTGCAAACTTTGGATCACCTACAGTGGAAAGAAAGATGACTATGCTCTTTGTGCTCCAAGTGCGAGGGGTTTCGAGATGCGTGAATATTAAACCGGATCGATCGGCTGATCATGTCTCACTCCTGCCTTTTCTATAGGTTTATTCCTTTTCTATCTTTTTTGTTGTTAAGTATTGGGTCGGTTTCTGAACTTTGTTTTTTATTTTGTTTCGTTTTTCTTTTTAATTAAATTTGAGTGGAGGGATAATAATTAAGCAAAACCATGTGCTTAGGGTTTTTAGTTTTCCTAATTAGTAAAAGGTGGAAACTAGGTAATTAGTGCGGAGAAAAATCATTTCAATTTGACTAACTCCTGTTGTATGTTTCACGGGTATAACAGTGGAATTGTGATCTGTATTTGATATGAAAATGAAGCAAGTAATATCAAAAGTTAAGACCAATGGTTTCTTCTACAGGAAAATTCAAGCCGCCAATATGGACTTATTGTGACTGAAGATGAATGCACTCTTGGACTCAAATCACATGTCTAATTTCAGTGTCTTAAATGGTGTTTAACCAACTACATCATGCCGTATCATTGAAAAGATTTGAAATGATTTTGATTAACTTTTTTATGCTTTAATATTTGAGTCCATTTAATAACGTGTCATGTGGTGATTGGTTAGACACCAATTGAGACATCAAAAACTGGACAGATAATTTGAATCCTGCACTCTTAACTTAATTTCTTGGTGCATCAAAAATGCTGCCATGATTATGTCAAAAAAGGAGAGCACACATTAAGATAAACCAATTGATTTACGAGGAACGTATGATACTATATCAATTGTCTTTGATTGGTAAAGTATTTTATCGAAAGGAGAAAAACCGTGGAAAGTATGAGACATGAAATCATGCATTGGCAAAAATATAGAGATTCAGGGTAATTGAAGATTAATTTCATTAGACACAATCTTTTGGTCTTCACTTTGACTCTGAGTTAGAGAGAGACGGAATTTGAGGATCCGAACCGATAGCTATTAATCCAGGGATTATACAACTCCAACAACGAAAATCCCATTTGATCCCTAGCTATAAATTAACAGAAAGGCCTCTTGCACATCCCAATTAGATTGACACCCATGTTAAGAACTTGATTTATACTAATGGCCCGTTTGAAAGGTATACTCAAACCATAATTTTTTTGTAGCAGAATCAATTATTTGAGTTTGAGTATAGATTCCTGTAATTGATATAACTTCAATAGCTCGATAGATATTTTGATATATATTACAAATTACTATAGTGCTGAGTACCCTCCCTCATTCTCTCTCCAACCAAAAATGAAGAGTGGAAGACTGCCCTTCACACCATCTCTTCTGCTTACGGTGATCATGATGATGGTCATGTTCCATGACACTAGCTATGCAAAGCAGAGTGTCGATCTCTGTTCTTCTTCATGCGGCGATATCCATAATATCACCTCTCCTTTCCGACTAACAAGTGATCCGTTGAGCTGTGGCGATGTAAGGTACAACCTTTCTTGCGAGAACAACCTTACACTAGTCATACGCTTGCCTGTTGAGTCAATAGATGCTGGACAAGGTCATGTCATGTCTAAAAAAGGCTTCCCAGAATACCAAATATACAACGTAAAGGCCATAAATTACAACAACTACACAATTCGACTCGTCGATCCCAATATTACGAAAAATAACAATTCCTCCTCCATCCCCAAAAATACCTTCTACGAGGGGCAACTTTATAGTTTGCCCGGTACTAATCCTCCGTACGAAACTGTTATGAGGTCGGGCTTATTGTATTCCTTTTCATACAAAGTATTTGGAGATATAAGATTCAAAAGTACACAACAACTTTTGGAAACCGTAGTATTCTTGAACTGTGAAAATCCAGTGTTGAATTCTTATTACATAGACGCGGCTCCTTCATTCTCCAATATGCCGTTCCGATCAAGAAGGAAGTACTACTCATATTACTTGGTATTGGACAATAATATCGGTGGCTTAAATTCATCTCAACTTGAGAAGCATTGCTGGATAGAACAAGTGGCTTCCATGAGGAAAGAAAAGATTGATGTTAAGAAGACTTCCGACGACATCCATGCCGCGCTAGTTGATGGATTCGAGCTTTCGTGGTTGCAAAGTTTCTGTAAAAGTAGTTTTGGTACTTGCTACGTTGATGATGAAGAGCCCAGCAGGGTTTCTTGTATTTCTCGCTGCGTATTTCTAGATTATGGAGAGTATAAGGGTGGATGTGGTAAGCATTATTAGCCTAAAATTTAACTACGTAGCTATGATAGTTGATCTCTCTTTCATTTAAAAAATGTCAATTCTTCTTTTCCACTTATTTTTCACAATTAAAGTTCCTATATTCTGAATTTCAGCTGTATGACATTGTAATTTTTTTTTTTTTTTTTTTTTTTTGGGATGATGCAGGCGTCTTCTATGAAATTTTAGGCCACCTTCAATGTAAGGATCATCTTTATCGATTATTCTTTTCCTTTTTAATTATATTTGTTAAGATTGTTTATTCTGACAAGTTAAGAAATTTTTAGCTAGCCAATTTTCAAGACTCTTGCCATACATTCTGGGTTCCTTCATGCTAATGTTGTCTCGTGCAATTTTACATTACAGTTCTTTGTGTTTTTAGTTATTTATTCCCACCTTTTGGGTTTCTCTTGTTTCCTTGCAGTTTTGTTATACACCTTGGGAGGATACAAATATTACATTGGTAAGATATTTATTCAACGAACTCAATCTATTAAATTTCTTTTTTAAGAAATAAGAAAAGATAAGACAAGAGATCAACAAAGTTTCCCAGTTTATTTATTTTTTAAAAAAGTGAGATCAACAAAAAAATCTTGCAGAGTACGTTCTAGGAAAGATAATTAAAGTCGAGTATGATATCCGTGATCATAGCAAGCCCTCTTTTTCTTTTTTTCTTTTTTTTGCTAGAAATTATTTCAAGACCTTTAAATACAATTTTTTTTTTATTTTGTCGTTTGTCTTTCTTTATTTTTCTCATGTTTTTAGTTTTGTAAGATTCTATTTTGTTTTTTAATTATAAAGTTATTGCTGATTGAAAAAAAGGGCATCATGATATTGGACTGATGGACTTGCTAGAGGATAGGTTTTAAGAGGGACGTGACAACCTAGTTGAGATGTCTTGGCGAACCTAGATACCAATTGTATATTCTCCTTATTTATCAAGAAAAAAAGGGCATCATGGAAAGAAGCCATTATGTTTTAGGTTCCAGTTACAAATCAATTCCTATGACGAACTATTATTAACATTCTTGATAAAAAGCAAAGAAAAACTAATTCCTGCTTAAAAAGAAGGACCTTTTATTGTGTGTGTATAATATATATAAGATCAATTGATATGATGGTATCTACATATTCCAAGTTTTAGGTGCTTAGGTATTATTAATGTGAACGTTACAATTATTTAATATTTTTTCTATCATATAATTGCTGGTATCTCTTAATTTGCCAGTTGGACTCTTAGCACCAAGAACAGCATTGGGCGTTTCTTTTGTGATTGCCCTTTTCATCTATAAATGGCGAAGGCGACATTTATCAATGTATGACGGGATCGAAGAATTTCTTCAAAGTCATAACAATCTCATGCCCATAAGATATTCATATCAGGACATTAAGAAGATGACTAAAGGCTTCAAGGACAAATTGGGTGAAGGAGGGTTCGGATCTGTATATAAAGGAAAGCTTTCTAGTGGCGGATTTGTGGCAATCAAAATGTTGGGTAAATCAACTTTTAATGGGCAAGATTTCATCAATGAAGTTGCTACCATTGGAAGGATTCACCATGTTAATGTGGTGCGGTTAATCGGTTTTTGTGTCGAGGGCTCAAAGCGTGCACTTATATACGACTTCATGCCTTATGGATCTCTAGAGAAGTACATTTTTTTCGGAGAAGAGAAAAGAGATTCCTTAAGTTGTAAAAAAATATTCGAGATCTCACTCGGAGTGGCTCGAGGAATTGAGTATCTTCATTGAGGATGTGACATGCAAATTCTACATTTTGATATTAAACCTCATAACATTCTCTTGGACCATCTATTCATTCCGAAAGTTTCCGATTCTGGACTAGCAAGACTTTGCCCATTGGATAATAGTGCAGTATCCTTAACTGCGGCAAGAGGGACTATCGGGTACGTTGCTCCGGAATTGTTTTACAAAAATATTGGAAGAGTCTCTTACAAAGCTGATGTCTACAGTTTCGGAATGTTGTTGATGGAAATGGCAAACAGAAGGAAGAATTTAAATGCAACGACCGAAAATTCAAGCCAAATTTATTTTCCTTCATGGATATATGACCAATTTAGCAAAGGAAATGATATAAAATTTGAAGGTGCCACAAAACAGGAAGAGGAGACAATAAAAAAGATGATGCTAGTAGCATTATGGTGTATACAGTTAAAGCCGTGTCAACGCCCATCAATGAGTAAAGTCATAGAAATGCTCGAAGGCAAAGTTGAAGGCATACAAATGCCTCCAAAGCTTTATTTATATCCACAAGAGCGCCAGAATGATGAGGAGATATCAAAGATAACATGCTCATCATCATCACTATCTGACGAGATCGAGTCCTCTGAAGTGTGACGACCCTCCTATGAGGCCGCCACCGTAACTTAGTTTTTAACTTGTACTTACTAGCATTTCTTAAAATTTGCGGAACATTTTTTTTTTTTAAACATAAGAATGAATACTTTCATAATTCGTAACAATAATTTCAAAAGAATAAATCACTGAATTTCTTAAAACTTTTCTTAATTTCAATTAAGATAAAACCTTCTAGAAATATTTTTCAAATGGAGTTGTGTTTGAACTCTTGTTTCAAATACTCTTTAAAAGCCTTTCTAAAACTAGCCAATTCAATTGGGCCATTTAATTTGACTTTAAAACGGATTTCGTGAGAAATCTTAAATTCAAGTACATCTTAAAGTCCTTTTAAAATCAATCATTTAAATCGTCATGTTTAAAATTTGTTTATTTGTTGCATGCACTGTTGCAACGTTCTAAAACTTAAATACTCAAAACTAGGGTTGTTAGCTACGACCTCGATTTTCTTAACATACATATGTACATATACTTTTTAAACATACATACTTGAAACCTTTGAATCATATAGACATATACATGACTTTTCTTAAACTTACTGCGGAAGATAACTGTGTGAGCGGTATCCATTCCCATCTCCACCATTCGTCTGCCGCTTGCCATTGCCCTTCAAGAATTGCTGATAGGTTTCTTACCTACAGCATGAACATATATGATTGAGCTTTCGCTTAGCAAGTAGGAACTATATCTC